AGTTGAAAAAAAATCAATGGGAAAAAATTGCAAAAATGGCGTGGCCAGCTGATTAAAAAAATGTTCGGGGGCTTGGCAGCGAAAGGGTTAAAGTCAAAAATATTTTTCCCTCCCTCCAATGTTAATCAAAGCACTTACCTTAAATAATGTTTCTTAATCCGATCTTCTTCTTTCCTGTCGTTTCATCTGTCCCTCCAGCGCCGACTCCTCTGTCCTTGCTGGCACTTCCTGTCCCACGGTGTCTGCAAGCGGGTGCACACCATCCATATACTTACCTTGTATCTCTCCTCGTCTCCCGGCCGAAAATGTGAACTGCGCATGTGCCCGCCCGAGAATTTTCAGATTTTCGGACGGGAGCGTGTGGGGAGCAGTAGATATATGCAAAAAACAGAGGGTTTAATAACCCTTTAAGGTTAGGGGTTTTAATCCAACTGTTAGGGTTAAAGTGAACAGTTGCTCTATAATTGTGCTTTAATACATTTCTAATGTGTCACAATGTAGCCGAGCTCGGCAGGTGTGGCTGTGACCTTCCAACAATTTTAATTATTTTACAATGGAGACTTCTGTGTAATTAGATGAAGAGGATGTAAAGACTATTGAGACATTTTGGTTTCTATAACACATTAATCACAATGACTGTGTGTAACAATAGTAGTAAGTAACAAGGTGGGAAGTGGTAGTAGGCAGCTGATGTGTTGATATGTTTACATAGAACCCAGATCAAAAAGGCTAATGTGAAGGCAACAGGATGACTATGACTAACATCTAAGTGGCAATTTTAGTCCAGGAAGAGACTCTGAATAATGTCTAACCAAAGACAGCATTGGCGCTCTGAGGTGAAAAGAAGATGAAGATATTGCCTGAAGTAGTACTGTGATTTCTTTAAAAGATAGGATATACAGTATCTGCAAGTGCTAAAACTTAGAAACAAATATATTTATTATTATTAGATACTGTACATGTAGTCTAACTAAGCCCTGGTGTAATGGTTCAAAATATTTTTGTAAGTGTGAAGGGTCCTTCTGGTGGTTAGGTGAAATGTAAAAGTTTATCTAAATCCAAATATGATTGTTCCCATTTTAGATTGTTTTTAGAAAAGCTAAAATAAATGCAAGCAAACGCCCTCCAGTTTTCTTTTTTTTCAGCATGGTACAAGATGATTCAAATCTCTACATGGGTCATTAGTGATTACCCTTACACCAGAATGCAAAGTACAGGGTTGTGTTTTGGAGCAAATAAAAAATCGGCCCAGGATAACGCCCCTCTAGTTATTAACAATATGCTACGCTTGAGACAAAGAGAAAAAAAATACTTACCACAACGGACTGCAGTAGCAGAAACACCTCTTCAGTCAAATAGTTCACTGGAAAAAACAAAAAAAATCTGTGAGTAGGGCTTTCCCTGATTTATAACAGCAATAAGAAGCAAATATTAGAAAACAACTATTTTAATACGATTACTCCTAAATGAGAACTATGACTAAACCTTTTTTGGCCGTAGTTCTCTTTAGGGTCATAGGAGGACATTTACCAATGTCCTCCTGTTACCCAAAACTCAGCGCATAGCTGGCTATTGTCCGCTATATGCTGACAGTGCAGAGCCACATTTCAGCCGGGAAGAATCCAGCTAAGGATCTGCCTCTCTAAAGGCAAAGCCAACTGTGACTGCCCCCTCCCCCATCTGTTCCTCCACTCAGCTCTGGAGGAACAGACAGTGGAGGGGGGAATCCTTGTGGGTAGCAGTGACTGACAGAAACCGCTCTCTGCAGGGAGAAGATTGATCGCTCAGTTCTCGATCTATAGAGCCAATGTGTGACAGCTTCAATCTCACACATTGCCTAGTGCAGGGCTCAAAATTTCAAGTCCTGAGCTACTAGCCAGGCCTTAAGAGTTACTCGCCACCAGTCGCCCCACCTGACCCCTACTGTGCCCCGCCCTTAACTCCGCCAGGTCAGTGGTGTGACACAGAGAACAGAGATCAGTAACAATGCAGAGTGCAGAGGCAAGTGGTGTAATGCCGAGTACAGAGGCCAGCCGGGTTGACGCACAGTACAACGGCCAGTGGTGTGATGTGATGCAGAGTACAGAGGCCAGCAGTGTAATGCAGAAAAAAGCAATGTATCCTCCATGTCCCAGGTGTCCTGCTTCTCCCGTGCTGTCCGTCCAGCCAGTAGCAGCTCCCCAGTCGTCCTCCCAGCCTATGACAGCTGAGGTGGGCGGAGGAAGCTGCAGGAGTCGGTGTTCTATCGAAACCCCAACTCATTGAGATCTCTAACTACCTCTGGTGCTCAGAAACACTGGAGCTCTGTGCAGTGAGCTTTCGATAGAACACCGGAGT